TAACGCGCGCGAAAGACACAATCTCGGTACAACGAGATTCTTGCCGGGTGTCCTACGCGGCTGTATGTCCATCATGTGATTACGCTTGGCTGCACTAATTGGGTCGGTGGTTCCGTGGCATGCTCGCATCCCGCGGCTCTCTTCCGCAAAGCGTTGACGAATATAGCACACATCATCGCCGACAAGTTTGTAAAAAAGCAAAAAATCGGGTACACCCGGTCCACGCACGGCCATAATCGGGTACCCCTATAAGACACTGCTGGGAACGACCGCATGACACCATCTGATTGGCCGACGCCCACTCCTACCCGACCTTGACTGTCTTTCCACCGGGTGCACCCGATCTTGGCTACTCACCCCCCGGAGGGGTACCCGGTTTTTGTTTCCCCTACCCGAACATGGCTGGGCTGTTCGACCAAACTCCATGCACACAATCAATCACGGGTCGGACGCGCACCACTGGCCCTCGTTTGTCGCCAATGAGAAAGTAGCGGGAGGGAGAGAATATGTCTATTTTTCAATCGAGACCCATGTGTGCCGCATCTCGTGAGGGAGGTATTCATCCAGCTCTTCTTCTTGATCATTTGCACAGACCGCCTGTCGTTCCCGCAAGTGAGACTTCCACTGCCGGCGGGCGGTTTGGCTCTGCCCGCCGGGCCGTCAGAACGTCCGAATCCGAGGGCAGGGCGTTGCTGACGTGTACTTGTGAGTATGGGGTTTGGTCGAACAGCCCAGCCATGTTCGGGTAGGGGAAACAAAAACCGGGTACCCCTCCGGGGGGTGAGTAGCCAAGATCGGGTGCACCCGGTGGAAAGACAGTCAAGGTCGGGTAGGAGTGGGCGTCGGCCAATCAGATGGTGTCATGCGGTCGCTCCCAGCAGCATCTTGTAGAGGTCGTGTTTGGACCGGCTGTACCCGATGTTGGCCACTGTTAAAAAAAAACACACTTCGCCACAGAACCTACACAGCTTGCTCCCCCCCTCCAGTCACCAACCTCATTGGCACTCTCGCTACGAGGGAGGAAGGCATACAGTATTCGTCGGGAGCTGAGAGTTGGCGCGCTAGCACACTTGTGCTACGATAAAATTCTGTGCCATCCTCGCTGCCTTCTCCTCCTCTTCCACAAGCGCCTGCCTGCATTTCCGTCCTCACCTCCACCTTACGAGCCCCTCCGAACATTCCCGCCACGCCACTCGCGCTACTCCGCAGCACCGGAGAGCTCACCCCCGGAACAGTGCCGGCCCGCAGCGTCTCGGCGACGCTCAGGCTCCCGGCACGCCCATGGCACGCGCCCCTATTTCTGTGGTGGTGCAATTTGTTCCGTTCGTTGGAAAAGCGGATCGATGGTGGTGGCGGGTGTGTTGTGGGTGGGTCGAAATTTAGCCCAAGGAGGAGCGATTCGATGCCGAGGGGAGGGCGAGGGACATCAGCGGATGTCTCCAAAAACACAAAAAAGAAATAGCCGAAAAGCGGGTCGATGGTGGTCGAGGAATAAAAGCATTTTCCGCGCCCACGGCATGCTATCCCTACGCGGTCCCAGGCACTATCACGGCGACAGTACCGCCAGTTATTTGGTTGCCTCGCTGGGAGTTGAAGTCGATCACCAACTCGCGTACCTCGAAACTGGCGACAACAAACAGCTCGGTTTTTCGAGGCACAATCTCGTCGAGACCATCCCCACATATTGGAATTTAGCGAATGCCGTGCATGCGCGTGCACAGCCGAAAACTTGCAGCCCTTACACACGTTTTGATCCAGGACCTATACCAAGAAGCTCACAGGGCTAACAGCGATCAAACAGTAAACATGTAATCCCCTCTTCAAGAACGCCCGCCCGCCCGCGACAAACAGACCAAACGAACGCGTGAAAATCACTACCGCCACCAAACCAAACCAAACCAAACCAAACCAAACCAAACCAAACCAAACCACCCGGACTGCCTCTCACGCTCGCGCGCGCGCACACCTGTTGAGGTTGACGAAGGTGAAGGTCGATGCCTCCAGCTGCTCCGGATCGTCCTCCTCGCGACCCGATTCCCTACCCCCCTTCTCCGCCTCACCCTTATCTCCGCCGTTCGCCACGCCGCCGCCGGCGGCAGCGGCGGCGGCCTTCTTCTTGAAGGGGTTGAGCAGTGAGATCTCGTCGCCGCTATGAAGCAACCGCCGCTGCCCCCGCACGAGCTTCATGCGTTGGTTAATCCAGGTCCCGTTTGCGCTCATGTCCTCAACGTACACCTAGGGTACCAGGTTGGGGCGGCGCGGGAATGAAAGGGACGGGCAGAGGGGGAGATACAACGTTCGCGACGACGAAGAGGGGTCAAAGGGCACAGTGGCGGTCACAGCGGCGCATCATAAAACGTTCGGAAGCAGCAAAACCGCAGCGCCAGCGCCAGCACCAACAGTATTTAGTAGTAAAACAGCATATCGCATACCGCACTTCCAGTGTGCCGCACTGCCAGTATTTCAGGGTGAACAGCGGACTGACAGGGACCGGCAGATGGCTGCGGACGGGTAGAATTTCAGAACGGCAACAATAAATGCTGACCTCCGTTCCTCCCAGATGACCCGAAAGGTGTTCGCAGTAGATCCGGCAGTGCTTGCTGCTGATTCGCCGGTCCGCTACCTGGACCTCGCACATCTGGCCGAACGAGAGGTGCCCATCGAGTCAACCGAAGGACAGGTTTGAGCGAAACCACAAGCACAGCACACATGTACGAGTAGATCAGCTTGCATTACATCATACAGGAGCGGGCGGCAGTTTCGAACCGCACAACATTTGCACCGCGCAACCGCGTAAATTACTTCCGCGCCTCCGCTCAAAACGCCTTCGGTGCACCGCTTCCAGGGAAAGTTGCGCAAGACTGCCATGAGTACCAGCATGATGCATGCTTACACAAGAGCATAGTACAAGCTTTCACCTTGCCCCTTCCCAGCGTGACTTCGTTCAGCGCGCGACCTTGTGTTTGCTCCGGTCGCGGCATCAACGATATCGCGGGGGCCCCCGACAGCCTCATCAGCCGACCCCAAGGAACCGGCTCTGCTGCGCGATTCGAATCCTCGCCATCTTCGGCTTCAGCGTCCACCACGGGCTCCACCTGAGTGTACTCGTCCAAATCTGGGGTGGGTGGGGCGGGGCATGCGGGGCAAGCGAGAGGCGCCCGGGGTTGGTTGCATGGATGCAACAACATGGTTTGTTTCCCGCCAAGGGTGGCTGGTACTGCATGCAACCAACTCAGCATACAGATCATCTCGAACCCAATCAAACTGTTAACAAGGCATCACGAAGCTTCATGACAGCAAAGCCAATAACAAGAAACAACAAGAATCGCCTATCGCAGTAACCTTCCGGGGGAGGAGCAAATCACACGTCAAGAAGAGATCAGGAAGACGGAAGGGTGTGCATGTGTAAGGTTGGTGAGGTTCTACAATTGGGATCACCCGCGCTAATTGGGTCGCCACTAAAAAACGTCGTGTGATAGTTTCTATTAATCAAATCGGCCGCCATGCTGATCGGCTGACCAGTGAAAGAGGCCAGTCTTGAGGGCGAACGCGACACATGACCCGTTTTCTAGTCCGCTGCCCCCCCCCGAGAGGAGAGCAAGAAGGAGGGCGGAGACTGCTGTGCTGTTTCATTATGAGCTTCTACCCGTCCGACGAGGAAAATCAAGTGATTCTCTTACGGCATACAAAACCAAACATGCCTTCTACTCGGCGTGCGAGCATCTGTTCAGGAATCCACGCAGTTGTGTGTTGTTGGGAGCGAAGTGAGAGACATGGGTCAGACGAATTCGCGGATTCAACAACTTGGGGAGCAGGTGGCGAAAATTACGCGGTTGACATGGCCTGCAGCAACGGTTTAGAAGCTGTAGGGCCGAGACCGCTGACCCTTCTCCGACGTTGAACCAACATCACGCGTTTGACCTGCCGGTGGACAACTTCTAGACCACGAAGGGTGAGCATGTGTCGGCCCGACTCGGGCAAACAACAGCGTAACCCTGCCACGCCGCTACAACACGGAGGCACATCACAAACCCTACAGAACCAGCCACAAACCGTAGATCTAGTTGAGCACTGTTCCAGAAATAAGCCCATGACTGAATGGTGAATCATTGATGGTGAGTATCTCAGACGCAGATTAGGTTTTACGCTGATGGATAGGAGAGACTCACTCTATAAAGAGGGCTATGATAATGACTATGAGCAACCTCCGAGAGTGTCCTGTCACCCCGCCAAAACAACCAAACTGCTATCTTTGGCATGCGCATATTTAGTTCAATCTGACAGCAGTACGGCGTATTTCGGTACCTACGTGGTTACAATGATCACATCGTTGTTTTCCTACGGACGCATCTTGCCTAGACCACTCTCTTCCTGAGTCTGGGTAAACTCCTGCTGGCTGTCTCCTCCGCCACCGAAATCCCAGCCGCGCCCCGACATGGCTCGAAGCTCGGCCCTGTCTGCCCGCTGGATTCAATTTGGTTTCCACTCCCTTTGTTCCCAAGGGAGCATTTGATGCGCCGGCTAGCCGACCCACCCCAGCTGTGAACTCCCCCCCGCAGGCACAGCTGAAAGACCTTATAGAATTCCACACAGCCGCACGTAACGTTGGTGCCCGGTCGCTAAATAGCTCGCTGATGGCGGCGTGCTACTCAAAGGCGAGACAGGCTGGCCGCAACCAACCCTGGAAAATTGGGCGCGGCACAAACGCAGCCAGCTTCCGTGCGCGCGAGTGCTGACTCCCTTTCCAAGCAAACCGCTGCGGCTGTCCAAGGATCCAGCGTGTGGGGAAACCCAAACACTGCGGTATTGACTGCAATCTTCACTGGCGTGGGATCACGTCGCCAAACTGACACACGAGATAGAGCAGTCGTGTGCTGCAGGGGCAGAGAGTTCGGGCTCCGCGGAATCAATACAATTTGTCGCCATACCATACGGCAACGAAACCCCTCGCTGCCTCTCTGAGCTCTGAGCTATGGAAGATGACAATATATAGAGCGAAGCTTCGCTCTATATATTGTCATCTCCCATAGGCTCTGAGCTGCGTTGTTGAACGGTTGTATTGGCGTTACGGCCCAGGGCCTGCTGTCTGCGCCAGTCTGTGGTGCTGCTCACGCCGCCACCCCAACAGCAAGTTAGAAGATGCAGTACGAGTACAATACGTCCAGTGTGGCCGCTGTTCTTGTGTGTGTGGGGCTTCCTGTGCTTTTTGGGTACCATAATCGACAAATGGAAATTGCTCCAACGGCTCAAAGAGTGCACTGGCGAAGGAGGCTGCAACATGCAACCTGCGGTGTGGCCGTCACGTGCGGCTACAAGTGGGTCATTAGGGACGCGCGGACAGGTGATACAGAGAGGGTTTATTTAGGCTGGGCACTGCTGAATGAATACGTCATAAATGACACGGCGATCAAACGGGACGTCAGCTCGAACGAATTAGGAACAGGAGGCAAACTCGGTGGCCATTTTTGTTGTGCACATACATGCATGTGATATATGTCGCTGTGTATCCCCCAGGGCACAGCAGAAACACTACACTACAAGGCAGTCCACTACAGACGTTGGAATTCAGTGTAACGGTTATCAATTCACGGCTGCTTCGCAAGTTCGATGTCACAAATATTCTATTGTCATGTGTACAAAGGCTGCACGGCTCTGCGAATTCGCGGGGGTGCGGAGGAACTCTGGGGCGAATCGAATCCTGAGAGGGCTGCTGCTGTAGATATCTATTCATGTAGTCTACACCATACCTCGTATGGATATCTGTTTCACAACACCTCAATATGTGACACCATTGCTTTGACGTTTGAACGCCAATCGACAACAATTTTCCCCGCTTGTCGGACGACAACAGCAGTGGTGGCGATATTAAGTATCGCCTGCGCCAGCTTCCTGGCACTGCATCGCTTGAGGCGTCGCTTGAAAAGCGTGGACAAGCTCTATATCCTGCTGCTTGGACCCTTGCTCCGGCCACACGAGATTCGCGGGCAGCTACCAGGCGGGTTCTGGTTCATGGTTGGATCCGCCGCGGCAGTGGGGCTGTTCTCGAAAGACGTGGCCCTCCAGAGGTAGAAAGAAAAAGGGTCAAAGCTTGAGGTATAGACTAGCAGTTCCACGTCCGCCGAGGTCTGTGCGATAGCTAGCTGCCTTTGGAGTGCTTAGTCTAGGTCGCATCCTCAGCCACCTGTGTTGCAAGTTACGGTTGTCAATTAATTTACTTACGGGCAGCGGTGTTATTACCTTTCGCGCGTCAAAACCAAATGGGTTTACCAAGCCTTCCTTCAACCCCCATGCCGTCGTGTTGTTGGGTACGTGTCCAACCGTTCACAAGTTGCGCTCGGCCAACCTCTCGCGTAGTGGTAATCAGATGTTATGCAATACCCCTCCCTTTGTTTCTCTCTTTCTACGTCGTTTCAACCACCCCCCTTCCCTCCTTCTCTCTCTCTCTCTCTCTCTCTCTCTCTCTCTCTTTCTGAAACACACACTCTCGCTGTCTCTTGTCTATTTCTCCACCCCCCGTTTTCCACTCCACTCGGGCGGACGTGTGTGCACGCCTCCAAAAAGCATTCTTCACCTCTCGTTGGGAGATCCTGTTGCTTCGGTGGTGGGCATAAAGAAGGGCGAGGGAAACCGAATAATGCCGGGAGGGAAATCCTTGGCGGTGAGACACGCCGCGGTGTGTATACGGGTAGGGATACTGATAGCCGCTGGCCGGACCAATATCCATCCCACCGAATGCTGGCCGCAAGCCAGCTTTGTTCACCTGTCGGCCATTCCAAACTCCCGACAACGGGGGATTTTGGTTAACTATCCGTAGGTTTCCGGTCTGTATTCACGATGTACAGTTTCAACTCGCTAATATTGCCATAAGTAACGCTGTTGATGCCGCTGCTCCCGCCCTCCGCACTTCTCACGCTCCGTCCGCGTAAATATTCCATCATTGCACGGGCTATCCGGGACCGACATCGACCAATTCGTGCCAAAAGGGGTCCTTCGCTGCATTCCTGGCGTGCTCGCTATCGACCCTACTGCTCTTCGGGTGCTGCTGTCGTCCACCTAGCGACGAGGGGCGCGATTCCGACCACGTTAGCGACAGCTATCTCCTCAGCAGTTCGATCTTCGGCCACTTCAGCGCGTGTACTGCCGTTGGGCGAGGCGGTCGAGATAGCGGTGGCAGTGGGATGCCGCTGTTGCTGTGGTTTGCGTTGCTGGGCGGCGTGAGCGGGGCCGTCGGAGAGCTTCTCCCTCTAGGGGTGGACGACAACCTTTCCATGCCAATAGTATCAGGCCTGATGTTCCTCGCATTGAGAAAGTGTAGTACCTTCGATGGACCGGGATGATCACAGGGGACGTGTAAGAATCGCGTAGATTTGATGACAGCAACTTCTTCTGTGGTGAACCGCCGTCAACTTTGCTCTGTGATTGTATGACGACAGTCCTTTCAGTGGTGTAGCGCCACCAACTTCGCTGGGCAGGGCTGAGAGTGCCGCACGCAGACCACCCTGAGGTGCACGCACGAGGGTGCTGGTTTCTGTATCTAGCTGGATTCCGACGTTTTGGTGCGAGTAGGAATCAGCCGGGGGGTGTTGTGTAGGTGCTGCCGTCCGGAGTGTCACTGTCGTGCTGGTCTCACCGAGTCAGCACAAATCGAAAGTCTACCTAGAGGTTGACGGTCACTCGTCCGCAAGCTGGAGTTTCAGAGCAAAGCCACTTCCGACGAAGGCAGAATCTTATGGGTCTCTGTGCCTCACTCGGTCGTGGTTACGAGCTTAGGTTGCGAGCTTTCGACCGCCCGACCTGTCTCGTTGCGCCACCCGGGAGTCGGTGAAACGGAGTTCGCTACTTTCAATTGAATGTGATGGATGACTCATGAGATACAACTCACACATGCACGCGTACCCTATGCATTTGTATCAAACAAGGCTGCACAGAACGGCCCGGCGGTTTCTACGCTACTGCCCCCTCCCTCCTCCGCCCGCGCGCTCCCGCCTTTTCCCGCCGAATGCCGGGGGGCGCGAACACGTAAGGCACCGGCAACAAACATTCGACTCCTAGTAGTACAGAACAACAAGCAAGATGATCGTGGTCGTGGCGGGCCAAACACGGGGCGCAAAAACGGCTGCCACGCAACAGGAGACGTTGGCGTCGTATCGAAGCATCGCTAGCTCTCTCGGCGGTTACACTCCGCAGGGAGTTCCGGTGGTGGTGATGCCACCGTCGAGGAGGAGCATCTGCCCGCACATTTGGCTGGAGGACGGGCTGACAAGGTACACCACGCCGTGTGCCATCTCCCAGGGCTCCGCGAAACGGCCGAGGGGGGTGCGGTCCACCATGGGATCGCCCTTCTCCGGCTCGCTGTCGGGGTCAGGACAAGAGGAAGGCGTTGGTAGGGACGCACAAGCGCGATGAGGGCACAAGGATCATGAGGGTGAGGAGCGACGGTTTTCCGCGACATTTTAAATTCTGTAACACAAGAACAGCGTCCTTGCTATGCGAGCAAAATAGTTTGTTTGCTGTGCGCAAAAGAGCGTCAGGCTCTGTGTTTTGCTTCCCTGCCGCGAAGCCGATCGATTCCCCGGGTCACAACCTGCGCTCAATCAAGAACGATCGACGACGCTCAAGAGAAAATGGTGAAGCTGGATCAAGCTTCAGCCCCATGGTTTGCGCAGTTTCAAGAAAATTCATCATTCGGCGGCAACCGCTAGAAAATTGGTCTGCGCACATTACACCAGGGTAGTGGCGACGGGGAAAATGTGGTTTCTTACCCCCACGCTTTGGCGCCCATGTCAGTCAAGACGATGGTGGGGCCGATGGTATTACAGTTGATGTCGTGCTTGGACCACTCCGCGCTCATCACCTTGACTCCACACGCGCGATGCAAAGAGCACAATCGAAGCCAGTGGGGGGACGTTAAGAAATTGTGCTGATGATTTCAACGTCACGTTTGCTTGCTGCTTCTCTGTTTATCCTGTGCCTCACGCTGCCTCGTGTATCACAAACACGTGCGATACGACACCTTAGCGCTGTGCGAAACGGTTTCGATTGTCTTGGCACTATACCCGGCTCACGTTTGTGAGACCATTGATGGCCGCCTTGCTGGTGCAGTACGCAGCGTGGTCGTGCAGTGCGAAGCGAGACGCTGTACTTGAGGTGTTGACAATCTTTCCGCCCTTGCCGCGCACGATCATCCTCTTGGCGCACTCCTGGGCCATGATGAAGGGCGCCCTAACGTTCACCTTCACGAGACGACCCACACACAAAGAACGAACGTGAAGGTTCCTATTCTGTCCTACCAGTGTCCGCGTGAGTATGGATTCAGGCATGAACGTCATAGGGAAGATTGTCTCACAAAGCAACAGGGTCTTCCTCGAGAACGGGCAAGAGATAACCATTGTAGAGCATGCACCTTCTGCACAAAGGGTCTGACTAAAGCCTTGCCATCTCCGCCAGTCTTGGCATATCGTAGCGCTAGATGCTTGTTCTTGCGGCTCTCTGGGCGAAAACAAGTAAACAACCCTTAGGTATCACGCTGGAAGGGTCCTTCACAGCTATTGTTTCCGGTACGAAAAATCTCGATGGGATTCCCTCTCCTACTTCTTACGTTCATGGTCCAGTCCCAGTCCTCGATGGTGGCCTCGAGAATAGGGGCTATAGTGGCCACGCCAGCTGCACCAAAGCGCGGACGAGGGTAGTGCAGCACAGTTGTGGGCAGGTGGAACAGCACAATATCGACGCCAAGCGAGGAAGGGTCCATCTATGCCTCGCCAACAGCCCACACCTTAACATCTACCGCAAACCAAGCAAGACAAGTTGTTCCATTTTCTTTGTGCTACAAGTATCCGAGTGCGGCCAGTGGCTAAGCCCACCTCCCATGCTATTCACATAGAGCGACCACCTGTTGGAGGACAACCAACTGGTGCATTCCGATCAATCAGTGAAGCTCACCGTTGTTGACGAGGATGTCCGCGCAGCCACCCGCCCAGTCATTTGCTTCGATGGCTGCTCGCCTGATGTCGTCCGTGCTGGACAGATCGATTGGAATGAAGTGGGTCTTGTCGACCGGCAGTTTCTTCTCCTCGAGAATAGGAAGAAGGCCGTCGAACTTTGACCGACTCCTCGCGAGAACAGCGACGGAAGCGCCTGCTCGGAGCTGGGGAAATCGCCGAGCCGCGACGTATGAGGGGGTCAGACGTACAGCAGAAACAAAGGCAAGCAAGCAGTAGGAGGGATATATTGCGTGCGAAAAATAGGAGCTTCACTGCCTGTCGCGTTTTTGTGTGAATGGTCGGGTATTCTGCACTCGGTCATAGACCACAAGCACAACCAAGCTGGCAAAGTCACCAACTGTAGTCAATTGCTAGCGACGTTGCTTTTCGAACTTCTTCGCTCACGGGTAGATCGAAAAATGGTGTCACCAATGGCGTTCAGTTGAAATGGTAACAAATAAGTGTACGTAGACGAAATCCCGGCTCACCGAGTGTGCCTGACACTACACCAGTTTAGTAGCTTCTGCATCTAGCAATGGGAAGGGGGCGCGTGCATATGATGCTCGGTTTCCATAGTGGAAACGTAACATAGGGGCACCCTTGAACAGTTTCAACGCTCTCAAACGGTTGTCGCGATAGTTCATTGGTCGCCCTTTTGTTAACTACACACGACGGACACAGTACGAGTAATGATGTCACGCATGTTACATTAGTCTACGCCGTCTAGCGCCGCTATTTACACGACAGAGTCAGCCGACGACGATGAACGTTCTTGTTGTGCCGCCCTACCCGGCGATAGCCAACGCGCCAGAGCGTAGCGTTGCGTATCGCTCCCTAGCTTTGTCGGTGTCCGATGAGTTGAACACGCACATCATGATGAAACGAAAACACACTCATTCGCCAGCATCATCGCCAAACTCTGCTGCCTGCCGTGTCTGCATCTTCTGTTTTCAAATAAGATGACTCCTTCGAAATGGGCAACCGTAGTCTTGTACTACTACGACCCCTCTCACCAGTGCCTCGGTGATACTCGCACCAATGCCCGCGCTACCTCCTGTCACGATAGCCGCCTTGCCGGCTAGCATGTCGCACCTCCACGGGAACGGAGGTTCTTCCGGGGCCGCTCGGCCAGTAGCCATCCCCCGACTTGAGAGCACACGAAGTGGCACGCGCAAAAAAATCTGCATCGGAGCCCGACCTATGATGACCATGTTGCGGAAGGCCACAGATAGCCACCAAAACCCTAGCCGGCCCCTATGTACAACCCCACGCAGCTATGTGCCCGCTCCCCTTTTATACCGGAGAGAGGTGATTCTTGAAGGTGGTCGTATGCACGGACAGCAGCGGCGAACTTCCACACGCGCCGCTTGCATTCGTGGGGGTTCGAACTGTCTATCTCGACGGTGGCGGGGGCGGGGGTATGAACCCCTGACGGTAGATCCAGAACTTGTTGGCTGCTGGACTGGAGCAGGGACACACGAGCTCGTGCAACAACGACGGCAAAAGGAGAGGCGAGGCAGCCCGTGCGCGTGGATGGGTGCCTACCAGTGTTCGCGCGGCTTGCCATCCAGGCTTCAACCGCGAGAAACGGTGTTCCTCTCCTGCACATACAGCGCGTGGTGTGCATGGTAATTAGGTACGAACAAAGTGTTTGTTCTGAAAAAGGGACCGGTGTGTGGTGGTCCCTTCGCAACACCGAACGTTGAAATGTGGAATTCACAAGTTGGGTAGCGAGGTGCGAAGTGCAAAGTGTAAAGTGCAAAGTGTAAAGTGCAAAGTGTAAGTGCAAAGTGCGAAGTGCGAAGTGCGAAGTGCGAGGGTAGAACCAGTAGAACCTTGGTTGGGTTTGCATTTTGAATATGTTCCCGCTCGGGCTACACGTGGCAGTTATGCCGCACCGGCGGCTGATGGCTGATGTTGATGTTACAACATGAAAGGCTGATGATGTATCTTCGATCTTCGAGGACTACTCTGTACATCTTGTACATGACCCTCGTCCTGCTCACTCCTAGTATAACTTCCAACACACGCACACTCATGTGAAGACGACCCCCGGATGGGTCCGATGGGTAGCAGTTCTAGAATGTGTGCTACAAATAAATGTCAACGAATACATTTGCTACTGAAGTCTATGTGGAGGTCAGGATATGGAGATTCAGGGAGCACAGATACCCGTACATCAAGGGTAGGATCTGAGGGAATATGTGATAATAGATTACTGTTCTCCGAGGGTCCCCAACTCTTATGACCCTCAATGGCTGCGAAGAGTTGATGGATCTTTAGGAGAATGGGAAATGGGTCCACGAAGGCTCGCCCACTCTCCGCACCACCCTAGCTTGACTGAGTTCGCTCGGTCATGGTTGGCATTCCTCGCCACATTGCACCAAAGGAAATAGCCAACCTCCGGTGGCAGGACATAGCCACCACAACCCCGGACTCTCCGCTCACCCAGAGTAGATAGCGGGCGTCCATATCTACGAACAATTAATGCACAGTCTAGACTAGACTAGTCTAGACTAGACTATGTATGATACATGTAGTCTACACAGATATTTGAAGATACAATTTGTTTGCTGCAAGAGGTACAAGAAGAGCGATGATGCATTTTGGGATCAGGGAGCAGTGTGGCAAAAACTACAAAGCAAAAGAATTTGAGCTCCTTGCCAGTGACTTGGCTTCAGCATGAAATATGTCCCCTTTTGATGCTGAAGCCAACATTTTTTCCAAAGTCCCAGGCGATGTACAGCTTTACGACCTAGTCTAGGAGGCACGCGAGTTGGGAGATGTGTACAGAAGCCCTGGTGTTTACCCCCTCCTGTGTGACCCTGGATGGTTGTGGTTGTACGAAAAAATACACTGAGAAGGGTAGTACTCTACATACGCTGAAAAGTGTGGTACACGTCTCACCACGAAAAATGGGGGGACTGTCGCCATAATAAATAGGACGAAAACACACACAACCACACAGCGGCCTCGTCACGACCCTCACGGGCGGGCAGGCTAAGAACACATAGGTGGCTCCATCTATCTCACAGCCTACATCTGGCAGACAGTGCCTTCGACCCTTCGACGGCGGTGGTATCTCCTTCTCTCACGGAATCACAAATCTTTGTTTGGACAACGGATGGGCACAACCTGGATTTCCTGCTACTAATACACAGTACAGTAATACTGCGGCGGCTGCGGATACTGGATTCCTGGATGTGTTCACCTGAAGGAAAGCCAAGAGAACCTGCGAGCAGGACTTGGCTCCCTCGTGACTTCCAAGTGGCTTGCTAGGTTCGGGCGAGGGCATGTGTGGAGCTATGGCAGTG